TAGCTTAAACACTGAATGAATGCTTCCTCTCACATGAAAAGAATGTGAGAGTTTTTACATTGTATTGCATGGGTGGGGAACCTTCATATTCTGAATTGCATAATCCTGAATTTCAGCAAATTCACTATTCTTGTAGCTTGAGGGGTTCTACAAGAGATGCAGGTACACGAGGAGAAAGGATAGAAGGTTTTTTGATGGTGGAAGGGGAAGAATTGAGGAAGCAGCAACTGAGAATTGCAGTAAGGTGTGTGAGAGAAGTGTACATCAATGTGGGTGAACTCCACTCAGCTCAGTTTGGATTCTCCTGGTATTTACAACCATTCTGACTGAACAGTGGAGGTAGGAGACATATCCATGTTGTCTCTTAACTAGAATCTGAAGTTTAAAACTGAATGAAAAGCAGAACATTTGCAAGAAAGATTTAAGAGTACCGACCAATTCAGCAGAACAGAACCAAAACAGTCACTTTTGCTTTTATCAAAAAAGCCCTTCCTGTTCTTGGTATATTTCCAATTGGCTCTTAATTTTTAGTATTATTTTTATTATTTTGTTGGTTTGTCTGAACATTAATCAAAGCTCAAACAAAGCTATGCAAAGCTTTTCAAACACTTTTTTTTTGAAGATTTCAAATTATTATTTACTTCCTGAGTTTGTGGTGTGGTACACAGTTCAGGGAAATAGCCTGGAGAGCTGAGAAGGCTACCATTCTGGCTTCTCTAAGCTTGGAAAAGTCATTTTACTGTGATAAATCTTAAATATGGTTATTGAAAACTAGCTTCATAAACTATGACTTGAGAGCAAGTTTGTTTCTTCTAACCAAACATAAGATTAACCAGAGTTTGTCTCAGCAGGGACAACATAGCAAGTTGTGGTCAATACGAAACAGAAGTGAAAACTTCTGAATATGGGTGTAAAAGCCTTCCCACAGCTGTGCCACAAAAGAGAGGGAAGCTGAGGTCATTCCCATCATGCTAAGCTTAGCTTTAAGTCTAAACCAGTTCCCTGGGAAGGGATTCTTCCTAAGTTTTTAGTTCATTTGGGTTGCAGCTCCTCTCAGTTGGGCTAAGAAGAAATCATTTGAGCTGAGAATGAAAATACACTGCAGGAAAAAGGAAATGAAAAAAATAAGATAAAATGAAAACTAAAAACAGCAGTAGTGATGCTATCAGAAGACATTTTTATCCTGGAATTATTTTTACTTAATGGGGCTTAGCCTGTAAACTCTGTGGGTTTCATCTCAAGTGATATATTTTGAATTGGGGTATCCGTCGAAAGATGAGTGCTAAGAATCCTCCTGATTGACCAGGGTATTACTGAGAGTGACATATAATCAGAATCTTGCCATAAATTTAGCTAGATTTTTGACACAAAATGTACAACACTGGTGGATTAAAGGGTAAAAATGCATACAAGGCTTTTAAAACAGGGATGAAACATTTTCATTGCAAATTATGCTTATGAAAATACACAAGGAAAAGCTGACAGGTGAAATGCTTACATAAAGCAACCTAAATTGCTTCATTAAACTAGAAGATCTAAGCATTTGTAAATGTTAAATTTACTTTGCACTATTCAAAAGGCAAAAATACAGTGACATCTTCAGTTTCCCCACTTCAAACATTTGTGTGTCTGGGTGTGTTTGGAAAAGAAAAGCTTTGCAGGATATTAACTGGGGGCTTATAAACTATAATTAGAAACCTGGAAAATCTGTACTGGGGTTTAGCAAAATTCATAGATAATTTGCTTGACATATGCTGACATGCATGAATAAACTACTGCTGGTTATATTTCTCAAGATAAATGTAAAGAAATTGGATTTATACATAGCCCTACTGCCAGTTTTAGACAGAATTTCAAAATAGCATTAAATAATAAGTTTATCCATCAGCTAGTATTTAACAGTGGTGGCTTCTTAAAAGTCACATAAGACAAGATTTTGGTCCAATGGACATTCTGCCTTAAATTCTTTGGCAGCACTGTCCTAGACACAATTCATCTCGATGACACCTCCACCTTCCTTCTTCATGCAACCAGGCAGTCTAAATGCAGGGTGAGAGGACCATGGAAGAAATCCCCTCCCCCCAATATTCTTTCCGACATGCTTAAAATGCTTGTAAATACAGCATTCTTTCAATGCAACATGAGTACACAGGTAAGGAATATGATTTCCCAACTAATTTTGTTTTTCAGTTTCAAAAATAATTTTTAAATGTGACAAGAGCTACAAGTGTGATTATAGTGTATAGAAGACGCAACGCTCGGTTGAATGTTATTGGCTAATAGTGGTTTTAGTAGTATTGAGATAAATGCTGGAGGCATTCAGTGTTCAACGCAAACATTGTCAGAGCAAAAACTCCCACCAGAAGGCATGGAAATTGAATTTTGCAGCTGCACTGCACAAAATAATCCCCCCTCCTCCCTTGACAAGTACTTTTATGCTGTGCACTGGCCCTTGCTATTTTAAAGGAGGCCACCCGCAACACAAATCGCATCCTTCTCCCTCTGTCGGTGCTACTTTGAAAGAAGGGATGTATTTGGCACCGGTGTGAATTTCTCTTCCAAGTGAGATAGGGGTAGAACAGTTTCCACTGGGAGGGACCATGACATGTGAACTTGTCCTGCCTGCATCTGCTATTCCAGAGCCTGATTGGTTTCCGCTGCAGCAGGAAGATACATTTGGAAAAAAGATTCACTCAGCCTAAAAGGATGGCACTAACTTCAGTTGTAGTTGAAAGCAAACATGGGATAAATAAAGTATCTAGATAACCATGGATTTGCATAAATAAATATCAGCACTTGTACTTACTCCAAGATGTAGTGTAATAAAAGGAACCATTCAATGAAAAATCTCTGTTCATACTTCTTGAGCCTACAGAAGCATGAAAACCAAACTGATGTTTGCAATGCATTGTCCAAATATTATTTGTTTATTATTAACTTTTAATGTCTCTAATTTTGAGCAGTTAATTTTAGAAAAAATAATTTGTGTAGCAGCCTTAACAGAGCAGGGCAAATGCTTCAAAATTAAGACCTCTGATATGTAATGGATCTTACTGTACTATGGTTACCTAATATAAAACAAAGTCTTTGAAAAGAAAAAGAAAAAAAAAAGAACAGGGGCAATGAATGCTTAATGGTAAAGTGATCCACTGATGAAGTGGAAAACTGGAGAGGAACAACTGAAACAATAGAGTAAACTGTATTTGGCAAATTTTTGCAATTAAAAACACATCTTCATTCTTGGAATGGTTTTTGATTAAATATCTTTTTCAGTCAGTCTAGTTTTCTGCAGTGTAGGATAAATGGATGAAAACACACACACATCAATCCTGGATGCCATCTTTTCCTAGACTAGACCTTTAAAGAAAGCTTGCCCAAAGTTGGGTGAAAAAGAACTTTTTCAGGGGCTTTAGATCTGAAGTAAGCTCATTCTCTTTGTGTGTGTGCATCTCTGTGTGTATTGCATATGTGTGGACATGCATTTGCCAATGTCCGGATTTCAAGATTAAATACAGCAGCGACCAAAAAGCATGTTGCAGGAGGTTTATTTCCATGACACCATTTTCTCGTGCACATTTGATGCACATCATTCTATCAATTGAATGGGATCCAATGTCAAGCTCATTGAAATGTAATATTTCCCCCCTGATTAAGTCCCCTGATTACTTAGCTTCTTGCACTCAGTTGCATTTGCTTAAATCCTGTGAAGGGCTTCAAGCAGGGATGGGCATCATACAGCCCTCAGGCTCCATGTACTCCGTGGACTTGTGCATGTGAGTGTGTGTGCGCACACGTGTGCACCCAGTGCCACTGCTGCCAGCTGTGATGCTCACTCTGTAGTGGTGGGGGGCAGGAACAGCACAAAAATCTCAGTGGTTTTACTATAAAACAAAGCATGTGAGGAGTGTACATCATGCTTTTAGCAAAGCCACCTGTGGGTTTCTCGATCACACTGCATTGCTAAATTTCAGTTGCAATGGCAAATTTCAGGGGTGCAATGGCAAGGACAGGGGGTGACCTCCAGGGAGTTTTGAGAAGGGAACTGGCCCCCAGACTCCCATAACTGCCTGGCTTAAAGAAAACAAGGGCAGAGAAGAAACAAAAGCTAAAAAGAGATCCTATAACATCTCTTTCAGTCAAAGAGTCATAGAAGAGAGCCTGAGATGAACATCTAAGCAAAGAAGTATTCACATTTTAAACACAACTGAGTAGGCAGAGGTGAACTAAAGTATTTAGATAGGTATTTATATCCCACTTCTTCAAACTAGAAAGTCCCCAGAGTAGCTTATAAACAAGTTTAAGGAATCAGATAAAAAAACCAGTAATGAACAATAACATCAGAGCAAGAAAAGTTGGTAAGAGCTTAAAAACCCAAGTCAGAAGGTTTAGAAAGATCTAGAATGTTAGCGTATTTATTTTAAAAGTCTTCGGCTGGCTCTAAAAAGACATAAAATGCTGAACTTTCCTGGGCAGGTACCACAATAGATAAGTGTCTATCTCTGATCACCAGCTGAAGAAGATATTAATATTCAGGAAGATCCTTACATTTTTACCTTGTATATGATATCTATCACAGAAAGAATAAATCTATATAAAACATATGTCATTAATTTGGCAGCTTAAACTTAGATGCACAGTTGCAGTAGAGTATATCTTTGAATGCAAGAAGGGAAGGCAAAGTGTATGGGCAAACTATGTCCAAAACGACCGAAGTCCTAAGATAATGATATTTTCAGGTGAAGGTATAAAAGGGGATCAAGGTTGGCCTTCTTGTGAACTTGCTATACCTCTGCTCTTCCTAATACCTCCTGCATGGCAACTAAAGTGAGACTGAATAGGAAACTATACAATACTTCTAATAGATACCCATCCTCAAGTGCTGAGTCTCCAACACTGTCAGCAGAAATTGGTTGCAAATACAAAATAGTCACAGCAGAGTCAAATATAAAGACGGCAACTGAACACAGAATGAAGTAATATCTTTGATGTATATTACTTACCATTGTTACTGTTGTCATCCACTAAAATAATCTCTTTAAGCAAATGAGTGGGAGTCCTGTCAATAGCAGAATGAATGGAACGAAGTATCACTGAGAGTGCTTCATTCACAAATATGAAAACTATGCTGACCTCAGGAAGACTGTCTGGAAATGTGAGGTTCTTGCACCTTTGAGGAAAAGAAGGGAGGGGAAAAGAATCTACTGTAAATTTCTCAAATGCGGCTTACTTATGTAAAGTAGAGAGAACCATAGTAACTTTTTTCTGAGTCTTTTGTCAATACCACTCCTTTTAACTATAGAACTGATTCATACTAAGCTTGGAATTATATGGAATTTCTGAAATTCTGCTGCAAATTGGCTTCCTTGAATAATTCTGTTCAACACACCAAGCTACAGTAGCCCACCAGATCTTACCGATAGTTTTCATTGCACATATAGTTCAAGACTTGAGAAAGGAAAAAGAAATGCTTGTCAGTAAGCAAACAATTTCCATGCAATCTGGTGCCATGCTCAAATTGTGTCAAAGCTTCGCTTACTCCCAAAAATATTTAAATTATGGCTAAGTTTAATGATAAGTTTAAAGCAGGTGTTTCATGTTTTATGACTTGTTGTGAACTTCCCAGAGAGCTTCAGCTATTGGGTTGTGAAGAATTGAAATAAATAATTGGGTTGTGAAGAAATGAAATAAATAATTATAATGGCACACTTGTTTCATACTACTTTCATTCTGAAGAGTTATAGCAATAAAGGATAGAAAGCATATACTTCTTTCAGTATCCCTTAGTGTATTGAGAAGCTGGAGCTACAGTGTTTCAAAACAAGAAGAAAGAATACGAAGGTTAAAGTATGAATCATCTGAAGTGACCTTATGTTTTTAAAGAATTAGCAAAAGATTGTTTATTCAACCTGGCTAAGATATATTTTGAGCATGACTCTAATTTACACAATCCTTTTTTTTTTTTTTTTTTGCTGTTATGCCCAATTATTTCAAAGATACTTGCTCTCATGCAACATGACAACCAGCCTGTGGATCACCTGAACTGTTTCTTAACTGAGTGTGTTGAATACCTCAGTGTGCTATTATTTGTGCAAGAAGAATGGATGGAGGAGAAATTTCCTTGGATCCCATTTTAATATGAACTGATGCAATTTGCACATCCTAAATTAACATGCAAACCAGAATGCAATTATTCTTCAGTTTTTGTACTTCTCTGAATTATTCAGTATAGCTTCCCCAAACAAAAACATATGTACATTATGGGGAAAACTACGCAGAAAAATTCATGCAATAAGAAAAATGCATTCAAAAATGCAAATGTTTCCTGCATCTTTCCTAGTGTACATTTTATACACATTTCTTCCATAGTATGCATTTAGTTCACATTTCTCCTCAAAATATTTTGTAGAGTCTCTTAATGAACGTCTTACATGCATTTTCCCTAATCTGTGCACTTTGCATCTTTGAAAATGTTAAAATTAAAACAAATGGATCCAAACAACCTTTGGGAGGAAGTATAAAAGATGTCTAAAACAAGAAAGGGGTTGAATAACTATGTTTATCCAGAGCCTCTACAATACGTTTCCATTATTTGTTCATATTAACATCTAAAAAGCAAGTTCCATTGCTACCGGTCAAGCTGTGCTAGAATTCATAAACTAATGTGCACAGCAAAAGAAACTGTTGTCATGGTCACCAGAAAAGTACATGTAGTACGTCTGAAAGTACACTGCCAACGTTCTGTTTCATATGCAGAAGACTGCAAAGAGGAAGGTGCACCATAATTCTTTCAGAAAACACTCAAAAGTCAAAATTGTTCAGAACGGACACAAAGGAGGGAAGCTGTTGCTGTTGTCTTTCTTTATTGATAATGGATAGAGTTTGGTAAACAGATATATAGGTCACTTACTATTTACCATTCATAATCTGTTCTTCAAAGAAATTGAATTACATTTTGCCTTTCTTTAGAAAGCTGCTTCCCACAGAAGTCTCCAAACAGTTCAGGGTGCAGCGTGCAATCTGCTATTTGGTGACAACTCAATAGTGCCACATCCTCCAGAGAAGTGGCCCCTTTAAGATACACAAAAACCTCTGTTTGTGCTTCAGTATGGGCTTTTGATAGCAGGTGCTGCTGTGATAAATAATACGAGGCAGAAAGGCTGCACGCTTTCACCCATTCACTGTTACTTCTCGACTGGTGCTCACAGCTAAAAGTTCTAAGAGATCATTGCTGGTAAGTGAGTTAGCAGATTTCTGAGGAGAAGCCAATCCTGCCCAGCAGATGCTGATTTCTCCATTCTCAGCGGGATGATGTATCTACTTCAAATTGCTGTCTGAACTTTTAAGGAGGTTTCCATACTGCTGAATCTTATTCCCACCAAATATATAGCTCCGTTAAAGTTCAGATGAAAGCCTGGAGTGTTCACATGACTCCAGTCCTCCGTCAGCTTCACTGGCTCCCCATTGAAGCCCAGGCCCAATTCAAGGTGTTGGTGATGACCTATAAAGCCCTTAACGGCTTGGGTCCTGATTACCTAAAGGAGCACTTACGTCCATATGTGCCTGCCCGCCCGCCCCTTGAGGTCAGCGGGAAAGGCCCTTCTCCGGGAACCCTCCGTGAAGGATATTAGGAGGGGGAGTACCTGGAGGAGGGCCTTCTCTGTGGTGGCGCCCCACTTATGGAATGCGCTCCCCAGAGAGGTCTGCCTAGCGTTGTTTTTCGGCACCAGGCCAAGACCTTTTTATTTAAACGTCATTTTAATTGCTAATATTATTTATTGATTTTACATCTTTGGCCAGGACATCTCCAATTATATTGTTTTTATATTGTTATTATGTTGTTATTTATTTATTGTTGTGAGCCGCCCCGAGGCTTCGGCAAATGGAGCAGCATAGAAGCTTCCTAAATAAATAAATAAATAAATACGCTTCCCCATTGACATTGTAGCCACCAATGATCTTGCCATCTTCTGTAAGCTCCCTCCCAGAGAGCTTTGGCTATGGGCAGTAACGGAATGAAATGAATAAGTAAGCTTGACTGTGCCCCAGCGTCTCTTGGCATCTCTTGTTCATTCAAACCAACTGGCCGATTCAGCCCTGGAAATACAATCAGAGCTACTGTCATGTGCAAGGTACTGCAACAGAGCATGCCAAAATGGGCAACGGTTCCAAGGCTTCATAGAACACAGGATACCTTCCTTGTATTCCAAGTGGCTGGCAAATTCAAGTATGTTAATGAACTTCCAGCCTCTGTCCTGTTTGCTTCTACTTAGGAGCTGCTGTGTGCCATTCCTTTGCCTTAGACCTGGTAAAAGGATGGAGGAGTCCCTGCCCTTTTGAGAGTGGCAGCCCATTCATAGCTGGGTGTGGATCTTGGATCCCTTCCCAACAAGGGAAAGGTGGTTGATGAGGCATTGTCCAGGGGACTGTCCCCAGGGTCATGTCATTCCCCTGGGGCCTACTGCTCTATCAGCAAGTGCCTGATCGAAGCTAAGGTATCTCCAGGATGCAAACAGAAGGAGAAACCAATCCAGCCCAGAGGTCACTCCACAGAGTTTGTTGTGCAAGGTGTCCAGGTCAGGCAGGGTGTCCAAGGGCAGGCCAAGGCCAAGGCAGAGCACGGAGTGGAAATGCTCATGTTTACAACAGAGAGCAGGCTCCAGCTGGGCTGATTTATAGCAGGCTGCAGGCCATTGTGTTGCTTTGAAGGAAAACCCCATGTGGTGCCTTCTGTTTGGACTCTTGATGCTGCACTGGATCCTCTGCCTTTCCAAGGGAGGGATTCCCTTTGGGTCTGCCTCCCGCCCTTGAGGAAGTCCAGGAATGCCACAGGAGGGCCCAGGCTGCTATCCTGATGGAAGGTGGTCAACCGCTGCATTAACTTCACTGTCTGGTCCACCATGCTGGCTGCATCCCCTTCGTCCTCCTCAGGTGAATCTTGCTCTTTGCCTTGGAAGGACAGCTCCCACTTACACCTAACAATATGTGAGGGAGCCAGTTTGGGAGTGGGAGTTCATCGGATTTCCTTGGCTCTGCTCTCTGGACTCTGGCCGCTTTTTCTCTGCCTGAAGCCTGCCTTGTGCTGAGCATCTGCACGGGTGTCCAGCACAAAGTGGCTGCAAAGGAGCCCATGAGGTCAGGCCGCGCGCACACCACCCACTGCATGGAGTTCTGCTTCTGCACCCATGACCTGCGGACTTTGCATACTTTGTGTAAAGAACTGCATACATTGTGCAAAGAAAGGGTCTGCCAACATTCCCCAGCATCCACAGACTCAAACTTGGGTCAGCTTGCTTCCTAGCCAGGGGGAAAAGTTCAGAAAGCACAAGAGTGCCAGATTCTGTCTGGATCATCACATCCCAGTCTTCATCAAGGGCCAAAACCCCTTTCCAAGTGCCCAGTACAGATTGGGCATAACACCTTCTCACTGTTGTTCAAAAGACATCCTAAATCTATTGTTATTTAAAAGGTAAAAACCTAACTTTTTAAAAAGATACTTTAAAGGACTTTTCCTAATACACACATGGCATCCCATTTGGTCTGGCAGTCACTTGTACGTGCGGTCATATTGTAGGAGGTGTGCCACAGTCAGCATGATGCGGACTCATGCTCAGCAGCGATGGGTCTCCCATCTTCCCCAGGGGTTTTGAATGATGCGAAAACACTAGTGTGAAGGAGAAAGCAAACCAGGCTTGTATTTGCTCAATGGCTAATAGGCATGTCCATTCTAAGCCATCAGGATCTAGAGTGGGCCATTGCAACCAATGTGCTGATAGCTGTCATTTTACAATAAGTACCATGACCCTGGACACTGATGTTGGCCTGCTTCCTTGCAGCAACAGGGATCTTTCTACAGCCAATACCCAGGCACAAAGTCCCACTGAAATGGTTCCTAGAATTGTCCTGTATCTCCATCATAAGCTGGGCCAGAAATGAAGTACCAGTGGCTCTCCAAATAATGTGGTTCTATTCATTACAGAAAGAAGAGCCCACAGTGAGCCCAGCTGACCGCCGTATTTCCAAACTTTGCAATAAAGGGCCTACTTCATATTGGTTTAAAAGGTGCAGTCAGTTAACAGAGGAGCTTTGTGAAATTTTCTAAACAACAGGGAATCAGTGTTGCTGGTGTTTTTTACCTAAGCGCTGAAGGAAATACTACACGCTGCTACA